TTAAAGTTCAACCGCTTCCTGCTAAAGGCCACCGCTGCAACCATGCCGCCGATCTCTGCATTACCACATAGCAGGAGAATTGAGGACACAGGGAAGATCCTGGACAGGGCACTGATGTCAGATTATTACCTAAATAATTAATCTCAAACCCAACTGCAACAAAACCCAAATCTATGCTTTTTATCTGAGAAACTGGGATGTGGAACGACATTTAAAAGGTCACTTGTGGTGATGAGAGTCTTGAACATCAGAAACACCCAAACTACTTAGGGGTAACACTGGACCATACACTTAACTTAAAAAAAAAAAAACACATATTGAATGCCAAAGCCAAGACTGACACACAAAACAACATTCTGCATAAGCCCGCCAATTCCAAGTGGGGAGCACATCCATCCACGCTATGCACTACTGCTTTAGCTTTGTTTCTCTGTGGCTGAATATGCCTGCACCACCTGGGGATGCTCAAGTCACAGGAAACAGTGATACTGTCCTAAGTGATACATGCAGAATTATAACAGGCTGCCTAAAACCCACCCGTTACCTGCCTGTATGCACTATCTGGCATAGTGCCCCCTTACATCAAGAGGAAAGTAGCAGGTGGTATTGACGGGCAGGTACAAGAGTCAGACGACCATCACCCGTTACATGAACATCAACCAGTGCACCATCATCTCTCATCGAGAAATAGCTTTGTCTTCTACCATATTACTGACCATATCACCACCATACGCACCCCACAAGATTTGGCAACACCAACACCAGAAGCAGTGGTCTACGTAGAATATTGGAAGCAGACCATATAGGAAGATTGGATTGGGGATGCAATGAGGAGGAAGTTAAGCTCCAGTGCTGCGTTCTTAAATTTATGCATGAGGTTTAACTTTATATTCAAATAGTCCTATTGACTTCAGGAAGGATTTAATTTATGTAGCAAGAGTGAGCAGCCAGATAAATGTTTGCAGAACTAGGACCTTGGCTGGTAAGAGATCACTTCTTGCATTTCAATGTTTAATACTAACATCGGAACATCAATAGAACAGGGAACAAAATTAAAGCCATATCGTACTAGTTCTTTCTGGGAGGGTTTAGCACTATAAAGTGAAAGTCAAATTTTGGTATGTTCTTGGGATTGGCCTAGTGCAAACTAAGAGTTATTTCATATCCTGTTAGGGCACCCTTAGAGAAAGAGGAAGGTCACTTGACCTGCTCCCAAGTGGAGCTACAGTTTGCAACACTCAAATAGGATCTGTATCTCATTTCAGCGTGGCTGGAGACTAGAGGCATTCTCCCCTACTTAGAGGGCCAGAGGAAAAGTTCTGTTCACAGCACATCTAGTTTTGTTCATAGCAGGCCCTCTGCATACATCCTTGGGTTAAATGGAGTATGTACAAACACTATACTGAAAAGCAGAGCATTCCACACAGAGTAGGATTTTGTATTTGCTCCACATCACGGAATATCACTACAAAACAAGGTCATGCAGATCACCAAGTATAGCTGCTATCACAGGGAACTGCAATTTCAGTCAGACAGGCCTGGAGTCAGCAACTGCATTCTGCCCATTCAGCGACTTTAACAACCAACAAACCAACCCACCCGGCACCAATAAATGAGCTACTAGAACACACCAAAACAGCAGTTCTCCCTGGAGCCAGAGGAATGCATATGGCCCAATTTTAAACCTGAACAATCCAGGAGGATTCTGGATTGAATAGTAACAAGGTTTTCCCTATGGCCGCAAACAGACAAATCTCATCTGATCCAACACTGACTGTCCCTTGGGTAGGGGCAGTGACAGGGCAAACCTCTGGACTCCCCAGACTCAGAACTGTAGGCATGCAGGTCCTGGAACAGCCAGACTAGCCTGGCCTGGGCAGAGGCGTAACTACAAGTTTTGCATCCTGGACAATGCCGCCCCCCCTTCCCCCCCACCCCATGTGCTGTGTGTGTGTGGGGGGGGGGGGAAGGGGGGGCCCCCCCCCCTGTGGTGGTGTGGGGGGGGGGGGGGGGGGGGGGGGGGGGGGGGGAAGCACCACGGTGCCAAGTGCCAGATAATGCAGACAGGAAGGGGAAGTTTTGCTTGTCCCTGGAGGCAAAGACCTGAGTGCTGCTGCTTCTGTCCTGCACCCAGGTCCTCTGGCTAGGCAGCATGGGTTCTTTCCTTATTCCCCCCTGCCCCCCACTCTGTACTGCATTTGGCTAGGCAATACAGAGTTCTTCCCATTCCCATTCCCCCAGCCCCCACTGCCTCTGGCCAGGCAGAATGGGCCTTTCCCTTCTTTCTCCAGCTGGGCAGCAGGACTCTACCCTGAGCACACCTGCTTGACTGCATGGGACTCAGCAGGCCTGGTTCCTCCAGGCCAAGTTTGCCATTGAGCAGCCAAGCAGGTGAGCAGGACACAGTGGGCAGGATGGGCTCCAGCCCCTCGCCCCTACTGGCCTCCCAGGCACAGAGCTGCAACAGACCCCTGCATCCTCAGACCCTGTCCCACCTCTTTTTTCCCTCTCTTCACTCACTGCCCTGCCCCCATCCCATGTATGCCACTCTCCACAGCTGCATATACCACTTACATCTGGGCCACCCCTGATTTAAAGGGTGTTCTATCAGACCCTGGATGTATTTGTAAACAATTTAAATATATTGAAGTTGGCAATGATTATTTAAATAGTATTTTATTTGCTGAGGAGCTATTATGCATGGTGTCTTGTAAAAACTCTCTTTACTTTGTAAACAGACTTTTCTGGCTTAGAAGACTGGCAGATGGCATTTCTCATGTCTTTCTACCCTCTCAGACCCAACTGGTAATGCTGAAATTTAAAACTAAATGGTAACTGAAGTGCTATTTCTATTGAATTTGGTATAAGTGGAGCTTCTGGGATTATGGGTAGAGGTTAGTGTTTATAGGACAACAGACAAAGAAGACTGTAAGCAAGTCTTGAAATTAAGCTGAAACACACAGACTGCTTTCTCTGTGTTAGTAGTGGGATTGAAATCATCATCTTCCGCTGAAGTGATAAGCCATAAAAAATCCATACCTGCCCATATTCTTCAAGATCTCCCTTGCCTTCCTCTAAAGTAACATAATTTCCTGTAGGCTTCCTATGTAGCGATAATCTGCCCTTCTTTGACCTTTTGTTAGGATCAGCAACTGGATCCTTGAAGACATTCACCTGGAAATCATAGCAACAAGTCAGTGTAACGTGATTTAAACATTTTTTTTTAAAGGCAAATATTCCAGTGAGTGCTCATATACATCATGCAGATGGGACCAGTCCAACTGCAGCATTAAAAAAAAAAAAAAAGGACAACATTTAGATCCGAATAAATGAACTCCAGAATGAGAATACATACCCCAAGGCCATTGGTCACCACATAACTGCATTTGAACGAACAATTCAAGAGATCTCTAGTTAATTTCTGCAACAAAGCTCCGCCAGATCCAAAGGCAATATTTTCAATACTCCATTTATTCTCCTTCATTCCCTCCACAATCTAATAAAGATAAATAGTGATAAAGGAATGTATTTTTAGAGCATGCCACTTCCCATTTCTTATTACACTATTTAACAAGATGCTCTTTTACTGATAATTAAACCAGCTAACATTAAGTTTCAAGAAGATACATGTAACAACTCTGGTCAATACTTGGCACGTTCTTTGCATTTTTAAGAGACTTTAGCCTGTGATAATTATAAAGTGTTACTGCTTGAGAACTCTATTATCTGCATTGTAATATTGAACATGGAATGCCACCTCCCCCCACTTCCCATAGTCAGAGGGATACAGTAGTACAATGCCCAGATAGCCACAGAACTCAAAAGCAGAATTCATCCTTTGCCCTAACTGGCTTCTCATAGCACACAGAGTTCAGACAGTTGTCAGGCTTGCGGGTAGACTTCAGCATTCACGGAACCTCAACTGTTTGGACCAATACTGATCACTAAGCACCAACTGCAGAAAAAGGAGAACTGTAATGCATCTAATTCTAGATGGTGCACCCTTAGAAATGCTGTACTAGGTTGGTAGGATAGGCTTCATATGGAAAAACATTCATTTTTGCCCTCAAAGTTATTGGGCATTTATTTGGTATACTCAGTAGTTTTGCCATCTTTCCTGAAAGATGCAAGACCAAGGTTAAATGCAACTCTATCAACAGGCAATTTAAACACACAAAGCTTTTAGTTCGGAGTCGGGATTGATTGGATAGCCCTACCCACAATGGCCACAGAACAACAGTGGTTAAAGATCTGTTTGCCAGGACTGCCTTCTAGGCTGTTATAGCAGAGGCACATCATAGCCCCAGTCTAGACATGGCCAGTGCTTGGGGCCCCCAACCACTTATGCCTGCACTTCTTACTTTTGTTAGTAAATTCCAGGCAAGGAGATTTTTCTGTTATGAAGGGGAAAGCGCATAACAGAATTTAAAATTTCTATCTTCCTTCACATCCCTCTTTCTGGATGGCCTGTCCTGAACTGAGGGTAAGGGGGAAGAACAGCATGGAGAGAGCAGTTTAATGGGAAGTGTCAGATCAAAAATGCAACAGTCAAAGCAAGTCTTTGGCAATTTCCTGGGCATGTCAAATACTCTAGAATTTCCCACTGTTTTGATTTCTTCAGGGCCTCAATTCAAAAAAGGAAATGTGAGGACAGCAATGCCAAACAGACTGAGAAGCTAGAGTGCCCTTTAAGGGAGCACTTGAGCAGAACAAAAAGCTATTCAGTTCCAGGCAGGGTGACAAGCCACTAGCCAAATTCAGGTCAGTAAGGGACTGCATCCATAGAAGTCTTTTAGAGTCCCAGAGTTTCCCCATGCATCTAAACTGGTTTTGCAAGATACAGTCTAATAAAATATTATAGGCGAGAGGCCAACAGATGGTAAACAGGGAAAGACTGGGAGACCACAGCAGCTGAGCTATGACCTCTTAAGGATTTGCGCAGAGCTTTTGCCCATCAAGACTTTGTACAGGTTAGTGACTACCACCATCATGCCAGAGTGTGCTGGCTTCTCCAACATAATTTATCTTCCTTCATTTTAAGCTAAGTGAAGATTTATCCTTTTCATTCCTGTCCTCTTTAGTTAATCCGTAGAACCATTTTTCCTGCCTATTTTGAAGTTCCAGTGCAGCACTGAATCTCCATATTCTGAAAAACAAGGCATTTCCCCATCAAAATATTCTTATATGCATGGTAAGGATTAGCAGATCTCAAAGTTTAATCAATGACACCAATTGATGCCTCTCCAAATTTTGTCAGCTTTAGGTTCCAGAAGATGGCCTGTATGCTTTTGGGAAGACTATGAATTTAGAAAGCCAAATTTCATGTGAAAGTAGCCCAACTGGCGTTCTATGGAGTCAAAGTCATCCACAGATTATAAGGCTGGAAGGGACCCTGGAAGATCACTGGGTCCAGCTCCTTGCACCAAGCCATACCAAGGATAAATCAGCATAAAATATTACATTTCTAATTCAAAATTGGATTCTCTTGAGCAATTGTTCAACAGACATAGAAGAAATTAAGTAAGCAAGCATGTGTTAGAGACCCATGTTGGAAAAGGGGATTTTTTTGTTCCAGACTGTTATTAACTTTTAAGTTTGCACTTTCAAGTTTGCACATGGAGTACATGTTAAGAATGAAGTTCAATGCAATACCATTCTAAAACAAGCCACAAGAAAATTAGATTTTCTTTTTGAGTAGTCACAGAATGAGCTTGTTAGCCATCTTCCCCAGCAAGGTAATGTTCCCACAAATGATTCACTTGTTAGATATCCTATATTCAAGATCCTAAAATTCAATACTAGCAACCTCCGTCTCAAATGATGCATCAATGACAGGCGATTTATCAAGTCAAGTACCTGGATAATTACAGCTCTTGTGTGCCTTTGCTTTACTCTCACCGTCTAAGAAATAGAGAAAGTAAGCATAGTGGAACAGACTCTCTGAAGGGGGTGTGTGTGTGTGTGTGTGTGTGTGTGTGTGTGTGTGTGTGTGTGTGTGTGTGTGTGTGTGTGTGTGTGTGTGTGTGTGTGTGTGTGTGTAAAATTGCCAGAAGATGATACCCCAAGACAAAGCTGATTACTACTTTTCCAAGCAGGAAAAGAAAGAGAGACAGTCTTGCTTTAATTCTGTGCTGGCTTGGCCTTTACAGCCAGCAATGGATGCACATATCTTGGTGTACAGTGCAACAATCACTCCAAGTAGCAGTGTTCAGGTACAGTCAGTCCTGCTTTGTATTTCATTCCAGACAAGAGCACGTTCCGTTTCCAGTATGCAGCATTTTTGAAACAACATGCTTTGATTTCAGCTGTGCTGAAATTGTACTTTTAACATTTATCAGGAAAAGGTTATGCATTCACCTACCAGACTGTCAGGCACCAGCAGTTTAATATGTAATGGTTTTGAATAAAATATGGATGGCTCGGTTATCCTTTTTAGCTGGCCTTTTAAGTTGCCTTCTCCACCAGATTTTTACATTAATAACAGTCTGTAACCTGCTTTGCATTTACTTAAAAAAAAAAGTCCCCTTCAAAGCCACAAGCACCCCTTTAAATCTGAATGTAGATACTCGTTTAAGGCATCACACAACTGACAATCCAAGCTAGCTAATTACTACTACTGCTAAGGTACCATATACTCATATACTGTACTTGAGAGAATATGAATTACAGTCAACAGAAGGGCTGCAACAAAAGGGATGGTTTGGGACCATAAGAGTTGCAAAAGTAACATTAGAAAATGAGTTTTGGTAACTCGCATTGTAAATTCCTTTGGGGATTTTAATAAATTAGATTTACATATTATTAGTTGTTGCCAATGTTTGGAATTAAGGCCAAGGTGGAGGTCAATAGAGCAGCTTTAAACATTTAACTAGTTTTAAGAAACTCCAGATTAAGAGATGCACTGCTAGCTCCACTCAGATGCATTAATTCATACCTCTTGCAGTGTGTTGATATCCACGCCATCTCCCTGAATAACTCGGATATAAGGTGGCAACACCTTGTAGCCTTTTGAATTTTCTACACTAGGGAACTTCTTCCCCAAGATCTCCAAAACCTGTAGAAAAAAAACCAAGAGACACAATCATTTTTACTTCCCCATTCCAGGAAAGAAACACATTACTATACTTACAGAATTACTTTTTGTAAGAAAATGACTGCATCACATAACCATGCTTGTGGAAGAACAAAGTATTGCAGCCATTTTGCAGAGACTGGCAACAAGGAAATGGTTTAAAACAGGAGGAGTTGGCAACCTTTTAGAAATGGAGGGCCGTATTAGTACAGTTTGCTCTGAAGACAGGCTACAACTTGCAGCCTGGCCACCGCTGCTCCTGCTGTTAAATGGCCACTGTCAGTCCAGCTTTACAAGCCATATGAGCTTGCTTGGTGGGCTGTGATACACGGGTTGCTGGCCCCTGGTTCAGGATACTAAAAGGCCTGGGAAGATGCAGACTTAAAAAAATAAATAAATAAAATCGATCAAAATTTAGTCTCCCCTTTCTTTTTGCTGATCCAAACTTTGGTAGTTAGGCTTGTGTCATTCTGAGGGATAGTCAGCATGGGTTTGTTGTGGGTAGGCCTTGCTTGACCAATCTCATTTTCTTCTATGAACAGGTGACATATCACCAGGACAAAAGGGAAAAGGTTGATGTCATATATTTGGACTTTAAAAAAAGCCTTTGACCTGGTGTCCCACAATGTCCTCATGGAAAAATTGGACAACTGAGGCCTTAAGTACACCACAGTCCAATGGCTGGGGAACTGACTCCAAGGTTGGACCCAGAAAGTGGTAGTTGACAGAACCGAATCAACATGGTGCCCCGTGAGCAGCGGTGTTCCCCAAGGCTCCATTCTCAGACCTGTACCTCTTTAACGTCTTCATAAAAGATCTGGTCTCTGGTGTCAGAAGTGGACTGGCCAAGTTCGCTGATGACACCAAACTTTTGGGAAGTGTCCACACTTGAGGATAAGCTGGTGATCTAGGCTGACCTTGATAGGCGTGCAAGGTGGGTGGGTGAAAACCTGATGGCATTCAATCAAGAGGAATGCAAGGTGCTCCTTTCCTCACAGGAAAAAAACCCACATCATGCTTATAGGCTCAGCAATGCTATACTTGCTAGCATGAGAGCCAAAAGAGATTTGGGGATCATGACTGACCACAAGATTAACATGAGCCACTAATGTGATACCGCAGCTGGCAAAGCACACAAAACTCTGGCTTGCATCTACCAATGCATCTTGAGCAAGATCCAGAACGTCATCCTCCTGCTGTACTCAGCCTTGGTGAGGCTACAGCTGGAGTACTGCCTCCAATTCTGGGCTCCGCAATTCAGGAAGGGCGTGAAGAAGCTTGAAAAAGAGTCCAGAAAGCCATGCACATGATCAGGGGACAAAAGAACAGGCCTTATGAAGAGAGGCTGTGAGCCATGGGACTCTTCAGCCTGGAGAAGCACAGGCTCAGGGGTGACATGGTGGCAGGCTATAAGTACACAAGGTATGTGCATCAGGATCTGGGGGAATGCCTGTTCACCAGAGCACCCCAAGAGATGGCAAGGTCCAAAAGCCACGAACTCCTGCAGGACTGTTTTAGGCTGGACATAAGGAAAAACTTCTTTACTGTCTAAACCCCTAAGGCCTGGAATAGATTCCTCCCAGAGGTAGTGCAAACACCTACTCTGGACACTTTCAAGAAAAATTTGGATGCTTATCTTGCTGTGATTCTTTGACCCTAGCTGACTTCCTGCCCCTTGGGCAGGGGGCTGGACCGAAAGATCTTATGATGTCCCTTCTAGCCCTAAAGTCTATGAAATCTATATAGATTTTTTTTCCAGCATTCCACTATTCTGTGGGGTGACTCATAGCTCTTCATTTGCTAAAGGCCAAGTGCCACTAGTTTAATATCAGAGCCTTACATGTTTGGAACTTTTCCTTGCATCTATAGCTCAGGGCAGCTGATACTTTCAATACCACAGGCCTTTAAATCTCCAGGTTTTTCCTTAAGTAGCAAGAAAGCTTTCTTTAGTTTCTCATTTTATTAGTATTTAGTCAACCTCCTTTTTACTGCCTATTATATAGCAATGGTATCAAAGAACAGAATGCACTATCCAAGAAATCTTGCACATCATACTTGAGGATTTCAAGGCAACTTACAGAACAATACATACTGACTGCTTTTGGAGGCATTCAGAATTAAAGTGAGACAAATATCTCTGAAAGAGTTCTTGGCCATTAAGCCAATCCGGTAAAAAGAAACAGAACTTTTTAGAATGCAGGATAGGAGTTTCCTTAGATCAGTGGTTCTCAACTTATTTTAGATTCAAGGCACCATAAAACTTTTGTGAACTGAGCAGCACCCCAATTAAAAAACAAAAGTTATTATAGTGCTTACCATCTTGCAGAGGGTGCACAGGAGCAGCCAGGCAGGGAGAGCCTGAGCCTGCCATTATCTGCTTATCTCCTCACACTTCCTTTGGGACACTTGAAAAGATCTTGCAGCATCCAAGGGTGCCCTGGCACCCTGGGTTGAGAATCACTGCCTCAGACCAGTGTAAATGAGGTACATTTCTGGATTCAAGCCAGAAAAAGCTATCGGTTTTACTAAAAAAATTTAAATACAAAAAATTCTCCATAGTTGTTAGCCAGACATTTAAACATTGTTTACAAATGTTTCAAAATAAATATATTACCTTTAACACAGTGTCAAGAGGATTTCCAGAGTCTGGTCTAATAATCAATGGTGCCTCTGGACTTCTGGATTCAATTAAATGCCTCAAGTCTTCCCCCCATATTTTCTCACAAGCATTGTAGATGTCATAGCTGTCGCTGACTACAGATACAGGCACTGAAGAAAACTGTGTTACTATGTGTTCAAAAGCATCTTTTTCATGATCTTTCCCCCAAGCTGTAATGGTACTGGAGGGGTAAAAAAAACACAACAACAAAAACAATCAAAGCCAAAACAAACACACACACACACACACACACACACACACACGCACCAAAACAGGAAAAAAAAGAGAGACCTATTTTAGAGAGAGTTCAAGCATCAAGACTTATGCTTTATATTGTAGTGTATAGAAAGGTACCCTATAAAGCCAATTATAATGCAAACTAGCCTAATCCTTCAAACTTTTCAGGTGATTTACATATTATACAATACAGTTTAGCAAAGAAACTTTTCAAGTATTCTACCTCAGCATTTTTATTTATCCATCTCGGAGTGACCCAACAACCTTGCATCCCAGTTTGTCTCAGGAGCAGCCCCTTCTATCTCCAGGCTAAGAGATTACCATCAAGCATTCACACAACTCCATCTTGTCTTCCTGCAGCAGCCTTGCAGTTAGCAAAGGTGAAGCAATTTGATTTACTGGTTTAAACCTGGAGAGGCTTTGAAAACTAAGTTTGAAGATTAACTTTATTTTAACTGCAGATTAAAAATGAAAAAAAACCCAAAAAAACCAACTTAAAAAAATCCAGCATTAAGGGCTGTCACAATCAGAGAATCTTATTCTATTTTCATGAAAACTACTATAATGGGGAAAGAAAAAAAAAAAAAAGCACTGATGTCAAAGGTCCTAGCAAACATAGGATCATAGGAAAAATAGGTCACATGGGGTCCCTTCCAGTCCATCTAGTCCAGCCCCTTGCTCAAGACAGGATCATCCCTGACTTAGACCATCCCAGCAAAGTGTCTGTCCAAGCTGCTCTTGAATATTTCCTCAGATGCAGATTCCACATCCTCTCCGAGTAGCTTGACCATCCTCACAGTTCAAAAACTCCTCTTAATCTTCAACCTAAGTTTCCTTTGCCACACTTTGAGGCCATTACTCCTAGTTCTATCCCCCTACAGCCACAGAGGAAGCCCATCTCCATCCTCTCAGTCATCTCCCTTCTGATATTCGAAGATTGTTAACAAATCCCCCCTCAGTCTTGTCTTCACCAGACTAAATAAGTGTAGCTCTTTCAGCCTTCCTGGAAAAGTCTTGCTTCCCAGGCATCTATTCATTTTTGTTACTTCCTGCTGGACTCTTTCCAATTTGTCTGCATTCTTCTTGAAGCATAAGGCCCGAAATTGGACACAGTATTCCAGCTGAGGCTTCACCAGTGCCTCAGACTCCTGTATTATTTTTCGTCACTACCTGCCCTGGTCAGGAGTGGGTAATTTGAGCACCTGCTGCCTTCCTTGGATGTGGTAGCCATTTCTCAGAAAGACTCATGTTAATACAACCCAGGATGCTGTTGGCTTTATTAGGTGGGCAACAAGAGCACACTGTTGGCTTATAGTCAGCTTATGGTCCACTGAAACCACCAGGTCCTCCTCTGCAGTACTGCAGCCTAACCAATCATTTCTCAGTCTGGGTTGGAATAATTGCAATGTCCCAACATAAGTATATGACTCTGACCTTGTCTTTGTTGAATTTCATCTAGTTGATCGTGGACAATTTCAGTGTACCTAGGTCATTCTGAATCCTAGCTGTACCCTGCAATGTCTGGAGCTGCAATATCTGGAGCTGCCTCTCCATCCAACCTGATGTCACCTAAAGAATGTGCTAAGCGTGCATTCAATCCCATTGTCCAAATCACCAGTGAAGACATTACACAATACTGGACCTGTAGTCAATTAACGCCAATTGGGAGTTCTGAGAGTCTGTTCACAAGTTCATTTTTGATGGCAAAACCAACTCCATATGTCCGTGCCTCCTCTTTTGCTCTCACTCTCCAGAAGGTGCATCCTCGACCTTCTTTCAGATGTCCTTCTCCAGCACATCAAGTTTCAGATAGGGCAATGTCGATGTTGAACTTCCCCAGTTCACGAGAGATGATTCCTGTCCTTTGCCAGGGGCAATCACTATTTGTGTAGTTCATTCAGGTTCGCACATTCCAGGTTCCAAAAAACATTTTTATATCTTAGTGACCAGATAGAGGTGATCCCACTGGACACTGTTATCCAGCCAGGAACTGACTGAGACAGACTGTTTGGGGCACCCTTTCTAGCCCCCTCCCCATGTGGGGTGAGCAGAGTAGATCCTAAATAGGACTTCAGTCATGGGTGCAGCTGCTAAACTGCTCTTACTGCCTCTCTCCTCGAACAAGACAAATGAAGCAAACACCCACTGCCCATGTACCAGTCCATGATTAGGAACTTCCAGATCTCAATCCTGTCCCTGTTGCCACTAGCTTATCGCCATAGGACTTCCCTGTTGTGCAGAGGAAATGTATAGTTCCCATAAGGAAGATGTCTATGCATGATTTCCTTTAGTGTGAGGATGTTGTTGCACAGACCTTGACAGATAGGGATCCAAGTCAAATGGCATGGAATCCAAGATGATTGGAGACTCTTGATCTGCTGCAGCCTTCATCCACCTTCACAGTCGCTGAAAAGGGAGTTACACTTTTCTTCCCATTGAGGTCTTCTTGGATAAGCTCTTATTTAGGAAACCTCCTCCTCAACCTTGCCGCCATAAGTGACCCTACCAGGAGCATAAAGCTCCTGACAGCATTGCTCTCAGGATCATTGGAACATGCAAGCCTCTCCACCACCACAAGGTGGCAATCCCCAAAGAGGTCTCTGACTGGAAATGGAAAGCTTTCTATACCTGACAGAATGACATCAACTCTGCCATCAAGAAAAAAAGCACACCAACAGGCAAAATCAGAGGTGCAAAGGAGAACTGAAGAATGAGTGGTGGATTCAGAAAAATCAAAAGAAATCCAACATTTTGCTGACATCCGTGACACTTGTTGCTTCTTCAGTGCTACCAAAGCCCTAGCACTCAAGGCCTTAATCCTCTAAGTTCAAAGGTTGGAACAACATTCCTGAAAGACAGTGAATCCATCAATGCTTGCTGGAAAGAACATTTCCAGGACCTTCTGAATCATGACTCAACTGTTGATGAAGATAAGATCAACAACTTTCCACAAAAAGCAAATCAGAGAAGACCTCGGTTTGCTGCCTACCCTGGCAGCGGTTGGGAATACCATCGGGAAAATGAAGAACAACAAGGCAGCTGGCGTCGACAGAATACCTGCAGAGATTTTCAAAGGAGGAAGAGAACAACCTATGCGTCAGCTTCATGTCCTCATCCTTAAAATCTGGAACAAGGAAAGCCAACCTAAGGGATGCCTTGATTATTACTATCTTCAAGAAGGGGGACAGAGCTGATTGCAGAAAATACTGAGGCATCTCATTGTTGGCCACTGCTGGGAAAGTCAAAGTCATTGCTCATATCCTCACTAACTGCCTCCTCCCACTTGCGGAAGAAATTCTTCCAGAATCTCAAAGTGACTTCAGACCATCTCGAGGAACTGCAGACATGATCTTTACAGTACGTGAAATCTAGAAGCGTCATAAGCAAAACTGACCTCTCTGTTTGGCCTTTATCAACTTCTCTAAAGCCTTCGATTCTGTTAACTGCAAAGCCCTATGGAAAACCTTGTCCAAAATTGGTTGCCCAAACAAATTCAGTGTTCTGAGACTTCTCCACGACAACATGTCAGTAACGAGAGTCAAACAGAATCATTTGAGGTGAAAACCCGAGTGAAGCAAGGTTGCGTCATTGCCGCAACTTTGTTTTCCATCTTCATCTCCGCTATAAAGCACCTTGTTGACAGAAAGCTCCCACGTGGAACTGAAATTGTGTATAGAATGGAAGGCAGACTCTTCAACTTCAACAGACTCAAGTCCAAAATGAAGACCACAACAACATCCATAATGGAGCTCCAGTATGAAGATGACAACGCTGTCATTGCTCAATTTGAAATGGATCTCCAAACCATTCTTAATGTACTCTCAGAAGTCTACAAGAGTATTGGCCTAACTCTAAATATCAGCAAAACATAAGTCCATTACCAACCTGCTCCAAATGGAGAAACATACACCCCCATACATTCAAATCAACGGAGAATTGCTGAAGAACACAGATCACTTCGCCTATCTTGGAAGGCGTCTTTCATCAAAGACAGACATTGATGCATGAAATATGCAAGCGCAGCCTTTGGAAGTCTGAGTAAGAGAGATCTCTTAAAATCATGACATTCTTGCTGAAAAGAAGCTCTTGGTTTATTGGTCCACTGTCATTCCAACTCTGCTGTATGGCTTGGAAACTTGGACCACATACAGAAGACATCTCAAGAGCTTGGAAAAGTACCACCAATGCCTTTGCAAGATCCTTCATATTAGCTGGGAGGATAGACACACAGATATCAGCATCTTTGCTGAAGCAAATTGCAACAGCATTGAGGCCGTGATCATCTAAAACCAACTTCACTGGACAGGTCATGTTGTTTGCACACTTGACTCCCGTCTGCTAAAGAGAATCTTTTTCTCACAGCTGAAAAAAGGTCAGCAAAGTAGCGGAGGGCAAAAAAAGCGCTTCAAAGACACCCTGAAGGCAAACATGAAGAACTTTAACATCAACACTTGGGAGACTCTTGCTCAGGAATGACCAAAGTAGAAGAAGACTCTTTGGGAAGGACCCTCAACACTTTGCAACAGCTTGTCGACAGGCAGAAGAGGAAAAGAGGAACAGGCGAAAAGAACATAAGAACATCCAATGCAGCAACACAGTGCCCATCCCTTCTGGAAACACCTGTCCTCACTGCAACAAGATATGTGGAGCTAGAATTGGGTTATGGAGCCACCTGCAGACTCGCTATTAAGATCCTTGGATCTTAACTTACTCGTTCGCGAGTGATCACCCATCACTTCCTTAGTTTGCTAGTAAGGATGTCAGGGGAGACTGTCAAAAGCCCTGTTAAAATCAGCGTACAGAAATCAGTAAAAGTCACGTTATCTGGTGCCTTCGAAGCTGGCATGCTCTATTAACTGGCATGCCAGTTGACAGAGTAAAAGTGAAACCGAAGTGCCCATCGTGGCACTTCTGGTTTCGCTGAGCCCCCATGGCCCAGGGCAAAGCAGCATCTGCTGGGCCCCCCCTCCCTGTCCCCTGGCACACTGATGCCAGGGAGCAGCACTGGCACACCGGATGTGGCGGGAGGGGTGGCGGCCCAAACAGGTAAAGATGCCTGTTCGGGCATCTCAGGTAACTAGCATATTTGGTTATCCAGCACCCCCATTACCCATGGGTGCTGGGTAACAGAGCTTTTGCTGTATATCACAAGGCTGGCAATTTCTGTTATTTCTCTTCTATCTGTCAAGTTTATAAAAGAATTGGGCCCTACAGTAGTATTTTTGCCTACTGACAAGAATCTGCAAGATCTTACTTATGACTTCATAACTTGACTGTCAATAATGGGATATGGCTCTTTAAAATTCAAAATCAAGAAGTACATTTCCAAAAAGTTAAACTATGCTACTGCTATGTATCAACACATTGTACAGACAGAGGTTGGCATAGAACACATTTACTGAACAAATGAGCCAGTATAACATGAAAAACTGACTATGTAATTAACCTTCCCATTTTCTGTGGAGGGAAAGTAGTAGTTCTGGGTAAGAAAAAAAAAAAAAAAAGGAACAATAAAATACAATTGTGGAAACCCACCAAAAAGGGACTTTAGAAAAAATGGTTTGTAATAGTTGGGAAACTGTACCTGTGTTCAGCAGCTGGAACAGAATATCCTGGAACTGGGTCTTTTGTTCCATAGTACTTTTTGATTAAAGCAATTCCTGCTACTGTGTCGGTTCCTTTAAAGTTGACCAAATGAGCTGATGCTCCTATTCCTGCGGTCTAAGAAATGAAGACACAAATTTTTATTCTCCAACCAAATCAGAAAGCTTAATCATCAAGCATTTTATACAATTACTTCTGTACAGCAGAGCTTGCTCGTGATTTAGTTCAGATTTCTTCTAGATACTTCATGCACAATCCAGAAGAGTTTCAACAAACAGAAAAGCTCTCCAAGTACATATCCAAACAAACTGCAGTTCAAGCCCCAAGGAGGGAGTTAACCAGAAATTACTACTGCATGTCCCACACCTTGTATAATTTTACCTGACAACAAAATGATCACAAAAAACAGACCAGTCATGCACTGAAGTGCTCTAACAAGAAATTAGGCAATTTGTGTTACCTCTTGCGAAGAAACTCCTCGGTAGCCAAAGTCATGCAGTTTGTACTCCAGTCCTTCTAAGCTGCCAGAAGTCTCCAGCAAATATTTTGCCAAAATTTTTTTCTGCTCTCTGGAATTTGTGGCCACTGTGATTGGATACCATGACTGAACAAGAATAGTCTATAATACAAATCAGATTAATCTATCAGAAACACAAAGTCATGTTTGAGCAGGTCACAAAAATCCCTAGGTGGTACCGAGTCTCATATGAAGGCATTTTGGCAAAGGAATTCTAAAATGTACACAGCTGCAAAAGGGAACAAAAAGATTAGGTGTGGAACACATGAGCACGGGAGGGAAATCTCCCAGCATCACTCAACAACTCCATTTAGAATAAAACTTAAATATATGAGGGTATTTCAGGAAGTCATGGCAATTCTGAAATAAAGCTATTTTACATGCAATGAGCAGGAAACTGCAGAGCAACAGAGGAACGCTGCTGAATGCAACAGCAGCTCTGTTTAACGCAACCCTCACTTATGATTACATAGAGAAGTGATGTGGTCCAATAAGCGAACATTGCACACTAGTTCTTTTGAAATTGCCATTAGTTTTTGGAAATATCCTCATAAATAAGATCCTTTTGGTTGCAAGACAGGTCATGTAATAACTGCCTGCTGCAGGAATCATACTTTACAAGTTGAAGGAAATAAAAAAGAAGCTGAAGAAAATAAAGGAAGAAAAATGCACACGAGTCAAATCACAAGAGCCTTGCTGCAGATTTCCCCATCTTTCTCTCTTATTAAAAGAGAAAACATTAAAAAAAGAAGTGATTTCCCCCCTCTATTGAGTCCTGGTGAGGTCACAACTGGAGTACTGTGTTCAGTTTTGGGGCCTTCACTACAGAACAGATGTAGACAAATTGAAGAGTCCAAGAGAAGGCAATCAAAATGGTTATGGGGTTGGGGCACATGACTTCTGTGGACAGGCTGAAGGAACTGGACTTACTTTGTCCGGAGAAGACGGAGGGGGTTTAATAACAGCCTTCAACTACCCAAGGGTGATTCCTAAGAGGATGGAGCTAGACTGTTCTCAATGTTGGAAGATGACAGAACAAGGAGCAACAGTCTCAAGTTGCAGCAAGGGAAGTTAGGCATTAGGAAAAAAAAAAACAAACTCACAAGGAAGGTAATAAAACACTGGAACAGGAGACTCAGAGGTGTGGAATCTCCATCCTTGGAGGTTTTTAAGACCTGGCTAGATAAAGCTTTGGCTGGGATGATCTAGTTAGGGATGGTCCTGCTTTGAGCAGAGGGTGACCTAGATGACCTCACGGGGCACATCCACATGTGCTTCTTGCAACATCTCAAACCCCTTTGAGACGCTGCAAGGCACATGTACGGGAACAAAAAAGCAAATGTTCCTTGTGCTGCATATTTGCAGCACGGGGGCAAAGTCTGACACCTGAATATCGAGGTATCTAAAAAACATGTGCCATGAAACAGCAGGGCAAGGCGTGGTTCAAGACCATGCCCGGAGGCAACCCAGGAGTCAGTCCTCTAGGTTTCTGGCCAGTGTGTCTCTGTGGTGCTCCTGCTGCCCCCAGTGCTGTCAAGGGTAAGTTAGGGACATGGGGTGGGCATGAGGAGTGGTGGGGGGATGGTTGGGGAGCAGAGAAGGGATGTCAGGGAGTATCGGGGGATGTCCCATATGGGGGTGGGTCCGTGGAAGGGCTTAAGCAGGGGCTGCCGCGTAGCTGCTCCCCCACCCAGTGGCCATGGTGCTAGTGACAACAGGCATCGGGACTGTGGCTCTGCTGCAGGCACAGCCGGTGATGACACGGCGCTACGTGACCTGGGCTTTGGACGGTCTGGGCCAGGTCTGTTCGGTATGTACAGAGCCCCGGTTCACACACAGTCATGTTACCACCTGCCATGCCTGCAGCAGAGCCACAGCCCCACTTCCTGTTGCCGCTGTGGCCGCTGCCTTAGATGGCAGGCCCTCTCAAGCACCTCCATTAAGTGCGCAACAGGACCCGACCTGGACCAGCCTGGAACAGCTTGCTGGCCCGGCTTTGCACCAGAGCAGGACACGTGGCTCCAGCTGAGCCTCATGGAAAATGCACCCCACTGGCCCAGCTCAGGCTGTGCAGCTAGCGTGGGTTTGTACAGGAGCCACGCATCCCACTCTAATGCAAAGCCGGGCTAGCAAGCCATGGCAGACTGGGTCCCACCAAGTGCCTCCTCCTTGCAGTCACTGTGGGCGAGGCAGCGCTGCCACCAGAGGCAGGACTCGGGTCAGCACGCAGGCACAGTGCGCCTAGCTGAGCCGAGTCGGGTCCTGCCGGCACTGGGGCCACTTGCGCTGCCAGGCTGGGTCAGTTCCATGGTGGCAGCATCCAGCTCAGCACCCAGCCACGCGGTCCTGAGTGGCACCAGCGCCAGTATCCAGGTGATACCAGCAAGTGGCACTAGGCCCCAACGAGCAATACAGGCAATGCTGACTGAGCCACTCAAGGCGACGCCACGCCACAGGGGGGCTGGCAGCAGCAGGCCCTGAGTGCCCCACTTCTGCTGCAAGGGATAAGTTGTGGGCCCTGTGTGGGGAAGGCAGTGGTCCTGCAGGGTGGATGTGTGGGTAGGTGTGGGGGACTATGGGGTGGGGGCTGCTCAGGAGGGGTGAGTCCCCTGCCAGGTTGGCAAGGGAGACCCATCCCTCCTGAGCAGCCCCCTGCACTGTCCCCCTGCAATCCCCTTACACCTACCCACATACCAACCCGCATGCCCCCCCACCTCTTCCCATACCCTCCTGCAAACCCCACATCCCCACCCCACCCAGCACACACCCATCATGCGAGTAGAAAACCAAAAGCACACATCAACACAGATATTTAGAATTAATTTTATTATGACACTGACACGGATAGGCTTCCAAATTGATTTAACATAGGCAATGCTTTATTGATATATTTACAAACTGATCTTGCTCCACACACACAGACATCTTTTATTTTAATTGTGGAAGAACATGGATTTTGGGGTATTTTAAAAAACGGATTTGGGATGTTGCTGCAGCAGTCGAGCCAACACAAGGGATTAGTGTCCCCAGGTACCAATTGGCCGGGCGCCAGAAGCTCCTAGTTGTACACCTAATTAGAGTGGGCCTTAAGGCCCACCTGGCTAATTAGTAGCCCCATATGGGGCTAATGAATGAGTGGTACAACTAAATTCTTGGGACAACTAAAGCAAAAACAGGATAGGAGTGTCATATAGGTCAAAGGGTCAAAACATGAAAATAAGTGCACCTGAGGGGGACACCAAGCACCCCCAGAAGCTCCTGTGTATTTGTAACATTCAAATACCGTGGGCCCTAAGGCCCACCCAGCTAACTAGGTGCTGGCCCCAGGCTCTCTTCCCCATGCCTGCAGATCCGGGAGGAGCCAGGCAGGGTTATTTTGCCCTAAGTGGCGTAATTTGCCCCACACTGAAGTGCAAGTCTGGGCACATGCACCGAGGAAAAAAGCCCCGGCTCAAATTTGCACCACTTCTATTTGAGCTGCTGCAAGAGCATGTGCCTCCATGTGTGGACGCGCCCCCGAGGTCCCTTCCAGTCCTAATTTTCTATGATTCTAAATGTGCTGAAAACAGCACCCAATTGGTTGGTTGCAAAATTTTCACCCTAAGTGTAATAAAACGAGTAAGAATTCGTTCTTCATTTTTAACACATTAATATTTATAGCCATGAAAGCTTATCTTTCAGAAACTAACCTCAATCCAGTTGGTGAGCCAGTAGCACTCTGGATCTGTGTTTTCTACTGTGAAGAGAACATGTCCTCTGGGAATGACAGAGCCCTCGGGAACTGCCTTTATTTCTATAGGAAGATGCCCATCATACTTCTGTAGAAGACACAGTAATATCATTAGATGGTAGAAAAGCCCTGGACAGATGCTACTAACTGACTTCAGCCGAGCTGAAATCAGTTAAAATTTAAGTTTAATTTAAATTTAAAAATTGTTAAAAAATGAAAAAAGAACAATTTTTCCTTCATGGACACAAATACAAAGCCTGTAAATACAAATATACCAAATCCTCTAGCCTCACAAAATGTGTAACTACTGCACCAACTAATGGTGTTATCCTCTGAATATTGTTACTTAAGGAGACCCCTCTGTTGTTTTTTTTAAAAGGCCATTTTTGGAACAAAGAGGAAGTGCTTTTTACAGAGTTGTGCCTGACAGTTCTCTTTGATATTGTACTTTTATGTACACTAAGTTTAGGCCACTTGGCAAGTTGTTTTTGTTTTTGTTTTTTTTTTAAAGCCCCACCATTGTTTGGTGCAGACACTTGTTTTATTATGAAGTCTAATTTCTTTAAGAGGGAACCACTGAACATTCATTTTAAAAAGGATTTCATCTAGTCTATTCATTGAACATCAAGCCCAGTCTCAGTTTTATTCTTTCAACTTCAAAGGATTGTCAACATTAACTTTCATGCTTGAAAGACTAAACACTGTGTGGAATATGATGTATGGGCTTGTTTGCAATAGAATAAGTCACAAGTCAGCAACTGTAAAAACAATAACTGTTATACGTTTTAGAAATAGTACCGTAAGCTAAATTGATAAACAGCAGCTTGCATAAAGACAAAGAAAAATATATCTTTAGAGTTTCCACAAAATATTCAGAATAAAATATTCATGACAAAAAAAAAGTGCTGCTTTACAAAATGATGTAATTTTAAAACCAGTAAAAATATACATCTCCACTGCTAGCCCAATACATCTCAAGCTCTTCGACAACTCCAACTGTAGCAGCATCAGCTAATCTTTGTACAATCCTGCCATTCCGAATTTGAGAAATACTTTCAAGTAAGTGAAGATACATCCAAGAAATCCAGACATTTCCAAGAGACTGCTACACAGTTAGAGAAGTTTCCTCTCTATTCTTTCCTTGCTGAGAGACTGGATTTACATACACGGATCCATTTAGCCAGGTCAAACAAAGCCTGCAACTATTTGACAATCAGTATAATTTGTAAAAGGCTAAAAATGATTTGCAGATGAGCCAACTGAATTAAAAAGGGACAGTCTAATGGAGAGAGAAAACCAGAAGATGCCACAGGTTTTGGTAAGTGGGGGTAGGAGCTGAGGATTCATTTTCAGACCTCTTCTTTTTACTACGCATGATATCAGAAACACCAAGAACCAGCTCAAGGCCCTGTGCAACTACAAGCTTTGCACTGCCCTAAGAAGTCACCCATAGCTCTGGTTCACTTCAAAAGAAAAGAAAAATGGAACAAACCAAGGTGACATATTTGAAGGATCGATGAAGGGTATTTATCCTGTTTCAGCAATAAAGACTGATCAAAATAAGATAAGTCTGCACAAGGACACTTGGGAAAGTTTATTCAGAATTAGAAGGTTGAATTCATAAGTGGCCACTAAACTGCATTATACAGTATAGACAGATTTATACTCAGGATTATAGCGGCTTTAATTTTAGCTAAAGGTGAACAAAGGCCTTTCTATCCCAAGTCTGTTCAGACCATGTTTAATGCAATTTAACTAACCTGTTTAAAAAAACCAACCCCCCACCAATTTTAACTAATTGAATGAATACTCCTGAGTGTCCCTGTGAGACAAGCCCTTAAAGCAGGAGCAGGCAAAATCCAGATTGGGCCTACAGTGGACTCCAATTAGACTGAATACTGGCACCATTCAACCTCAGGGACCTGAACAGAAGTTATTAAAAGCTACTTGCTTACATGTGCCTACTCTTAGAGGAAAAAGGTACTCCCCGATATCAGAAAAATAGTGCTTATACTAAGAAAAGAAAGGAACAGAGCTAAATTCAGATTTTTGTCTTCACAGAAGCTTAATCCTTCTCTGTGTTTCATAACAAAACTGATTAAGGATGACTGCAAAATTTACAAGCTACTCATTTTCATGTACCAGTTAGGATTTATTTTTCCATAAACTATTCACTTGTGTAAGAAGTTGTGTTAGAAGTTGTATTAGTTGCACTAATAGAAATAAAACTAGGATTTACAGAAAGCAATAAAAATAGCACAATCAGCCACTGAATACTGTATTACATAAGGAATTTTGCCAACAAGTCCTACTCATTTTAGCTCGGTGATGGCTGCAATAAGTCCCTATTACCTGGAAAGCCATATTTGGGCTTTGAAAGGATGAAAAACTACTTTCCTTTACAGACCTACAGTTATTAGAGTATTCTGCAACAGCTGCTAGTCCTTGCAGGCTGAACTCAAAGCTAGATTTCTCTCTCTTACAGTCATGGCCAACATAGCTTCTGTTTAGAGGTCAAACTACAACACGCATCTGAAAGATAGCAAAAATAACTAATGCACTGATTCACAAAATCTTCATAATGTTATCCTGAATTGAAATATACATGTACACTGAACTTTACCTCAAGAATATAGTTCCATCCTTTTTCATTAAAGACATCATCTTGAAAATGCTCCCTATACACCTCTTTGGCTTCCTGAATTTTCTCTTTGGTCACCACTTTACCTGAAATTTGAAAAAATAATTAAATAACACCAACTTCAGAAATAAGTTTTTAATGTCAGAAATAATAATTATTTTATTTAGAATAATTTAAAAGTGATAAGCATTATAAATGTCCCCTCCCAGACATGGAAGTGTTATGGACAGCAAACCGGTCATCAAATGCACTAATGATGCCTAAAAGCATTTTTGTTTGTTTCTGACTTGCGATGAAAGCAAGAAAAAGATGGCTCAGGAAATTTAAGGGCACTTTTTACATTAGGTCAGTGATTCAAATGCAATGCAGGTTGGTAATAATCTGAGGTCACTAACTCAGATGGCTAATCAGAAC